TGAGGGCGACGGCGAAGGATCTGGTGGGGCGTCGCCGGGAGTGAGGGAGGAGATGGGGGCGGGCGGGGTCGGCACCGGGAGTGAGGGAGGAGATGGGGGCAGGCGGCGCCGGGATCGGGGAGGAGATGGGGGCGGGCGGCGCCGGGAGCCAGGGAGAAGGTTGGGGGTTGGAGGCATCGATCGTAGGGTTTTTTGGCACGGTTTTTTTTCACGGGTGGGTTGCGAGTTAACAAAGGTGGGAGGATGACAAAAAAACCAGCAAAAATAAACCGCACAGAGTATTCACCAACTGCTCCATTAGGAGTAGAGATGAAGTGGCACAGAAAGCTCAAGTAAAAGGGGAAATATATTGTGTATACCATGATTTATTACTTATATTTGTCCAACCAAAAGAAAATTTACACACCAAAGTACAGATCACAAAACGTCCGGAGTACATACTAGAAGCCCATATTCAACTCCACAAAACTCAGAACTCGGATATTGTGGGAAGTTTTATTTCGGGAAGTTGTATTGTATCTCCATCTTATTATTCTGCAAGAGGTGGCCAGACCGGCACCTCAAACTTTCACAAGTAGCGGCCGCCAGCCAGGCTCAGTGCTGCCCGGGCAGCTTTTCCTTGATCTTGTCCATGATGCCCTTCTTTTCGCCGGCGCCATCGGTGACATGCGTCCCAGTACCGGTCATTCCGGTGTGTCCTGGCTGCCCGTAGGTACCGCCTGTGGCCGCGGAGCCATGTGCCCCGGTGCCGGCCATGCCAGTACCCTGCTGTCCGTAGGTGCCATCGGCGTGCTGCTGGTCACCGTGGCCACCAGGGAGCTTCTCCTTGATCTTATCCTTGATGCCCTTCTTCCTCCTCCCGCCCATGCCATCATCCTCAGACTATCACGCCGAACGAGAAAATTCAGTCGTTGATGCTTTTTCATTCAAAGTCTAAACGGGAAAATGCAACTATTGCAAGTGTTAGCAAGAAGTATATATATACGCACCGAGCTGGAGCTCGAGCTGCCGGAGCGCTGCAGGATCCCGCCGGCCTTGTGCTCCTCCCTCGTGGGCTGGAAATGCCCACCAGTGGCAGCGCCGGTGCCGCTGCCTCCGTGCGCGCCCATGCCGGTGCCTACGCCATGTCCGGCAACCGGGTTACCGTACTCGTCGACGCGGTTGGTCGCCTGGCCGTGCTGCTGCTGTCCCTGGTACTCCATCTTGCAGACTTGCACAGGTGTTGATCTTGGTTGTCTTCCCGACTTGGCTGCAACTCGTGGCTGTGTTGTGTAAGCAGGTCCAGCACGAGGCACAATTTATAGCCGACGGGATAGGATCGTCGGAGGCGCTACGTGTGCTCGCGGGAGCGGGTTGCCGGTGACTGATGACTAGCCCATAAAGAGAGGCCGGACGTGTGCAGCTACTGGGCGCCTTCGGGTTGCCACGTCTGAGCTTGTTCTCGAAGAGGTGATGACACACAAGGGACACTTCCAAAAGTCGTCTTGTTTGCTTCGGAAACTGACAGCTCGAAGCGTCGGCATGGAACAAAAATGGAACTATATGGACCAAAGGTATCCTATCATTAAAAGTAGGCGCGTTCGGGTTATTATGATCGAGCAATATCAAATTCATTTTTATGCCCGCGAGGATGTCCATCGCACGTCCATGAAAATATGCATCGACTGAAAATCATAACCCTGCTCATTAAAAATGGGAAAATGGGTCGGCAGGTGATGGTATGCTAGCAACACAAGGCGAAGTAGGTTAGGTGACAGAAGTTGAGTGCAAGGGCTGAGTCTCAGGGTGAAAACTTATGATCCACCTTCATTGGTTGAACATGGGAATGTTGTTGTTCATATGACATTCTCTAGTTGAAGACATTGCATGAAGTTTACTCAAACTCCTCTTCGAGGTGAAAATTCACGATCTAACCTTAGTGGTTGGTTACAACGACGACAGCGCTCATGTGTTGTTCTCTTCCTGAAAGCATCATTGTTGAAGCACCTATACCTCCCTAAAAGCATCATTGTTAAAGCACGTATACTGTTACCTATGGGTGCTATCATTGATGCTTGTCGTCATTGTTGTTGTCGTTTGCTGGGGGTGTTGTTCACCTTTTTTTCTTCTTCCTTTCGTAATAATGTTGTTCTATGCATTTGAGTAATAAATATCTTCCCAATATTTTATATTTCATATCGGAAAAAATATACGTAGGGCTTCAACTGATCGAACTAGTGGATCCCATCTGCCCCCGCGTCGCGCCCTCCCCAGGGCGACACGGGTGGCGAAAAACACCAGCCTCTCCTCGCCTCACCCATCCCATCCACCCCCTCGCCATCGCCGGTGGCCTCTGACATGCAAAGCATGCGTGGAGCCGGCGGCGGCGGGGCTCGTGCTCCTCGCCGGCTGCTCTTTTGATGGGGAGATCTCAGGCGGCTGGTGATAGTCCGGAGCTCGTCTTCACGGCGGCGTCCTCGATTGTGGCAGCGCTAGTCGCTTGTGCGCAGCGCGGTGTCACCACGATGGGAGCTCCGTCGCGGGCGTGCGGTTGTAGGCCAGCCACAAGCAAGACTCATGTTACTTCATTCAGTTTTGGTTAGGAGAACAAGTAATCGAGGAAAGGAGGTCGGTGATCTGAGCTAGGAGCCTAGAACAGGACTGTCATTATGCTGAAGTTTCCGGACGAGATTTGAGCTGACTTGTAACTTGTCGGGATGGCATTTGTCAAGATTCAAGATGAATGAGAGAGACAACAGCCTGGTATGAACTTCCATGAAAAGCAAGTATGAAACGCCATGCACAATACTCTCTTCGTTTTTAAATATAAGTCTTTGTAGGTATTTCACTATGGACCGTATACAAATATATATAGATGCATTTTGTGTGTAGATTCACTCATTTTGCTCCGTATGTGGTCCGTAATGAAATCTCTCCAAAGACTTATACTCCCTCCATCCGAAAATACTTGTCATCAAAATGAATAAAAAGAGATGTATCTAAAACTAAAATACATCTAGATACATCTTCTTTTATCCATTTTGATGACAAATATTTCCGGACGGAGGAAGTATTTAGGAACGGAGGGAGTACATTCATCCCGAATTCCACACGTAAGTGAGTACGTCCACTCACACTCCACACGCGGTGTGGTGTGTTGCGCGTACGGCCGGTCGCCCTCTCATTTCATTGCACGGCAGTGATCGCGCGCGCGATGCCAAAGTTTAACACTGCCATCCTGAGTGGCCAGTGTGATATTATGGCGGTACCAATGAAAAGAAAGCCTATAGTTGAACGTTGCTAACAAATTTTGATGCCCCGTCTTATTGATTGGCCCTTGATAGATCGATATGCACGTGCCTTGGATTACTTTAACATAAATAAACATGGTTGTCTGAGCTACTCCCTTCGTTCCTAAATATTTGTCTTTCCAGAGATTTCAACAAATGATTACATACGAAGTAAAATGAGTGAATCTACACTCTAAAATATGTCTATATACATCCGTATATTATAGTCCATTTAAAATGTCTAGAAAGACAATTTTTGGAAACTGAGGGAGTAGAAGCGTAGAATAGGACTATTCTTGTGCGGAAGTTTCCACGCATGGTGTGAGCTGATTTGTTACTTGGATGGTCCTTGTCAAGATGGATGAGGAAGAGCAACAGCTCATCGAAACGTGTATGAACTTCCATGAAACGGAGGTATGAAATGGCATGCATAGTATTTCCTCCGTTTTTAAATATTTGTCTTTTTAAAGATTTCAAATGAACTATCGCATAAGGATGTATATAGACATACTTTAAAGTGTAAAATCATTCATTTTGTTCCGTATGTAGTCATTTGTTGAAATCTCTAGAAAAGCAATATTTAGGAATGGAGGGAGTACATTCTTCCCGAATTCCACGCGTCAACTCACACTCCACACGGCGGTGTGTTGAGTTGTGTGTACGGCCGGTCGCCCTCATGCATACCATTGCACGGCCGAGATCAAACGGGTTCACAGAACTAACACTACCATTGACTCATTTAGCCTAGGTCCTACCTGTTATTGCCAAAGGTATGTTGGTACTCCTACTCGATCTCGTTGTCTCCACGGGGAAGAGCCGTGCTCGAAAAGTATGCATTCGATGTGAAAAGCTTACCGCAGTCAGCTTGAACCCCCTGCCCTTCTCCGCCTTGTATCTGGAGGCAGCGATATATAACCGCCGCAGAAGCAGAGCAGCAAAAGAACACACCAAGGCGTGCTTTGGTGAGGAGAAATTCAGGTATTTCCCCATCTCATTCAAACATTTGCGTTCTGCAAGCAAAGCTTGTGTCTCAAACATGTCTTGGCATGCTTCAAAATCGCCCAGCTCCTCCATGTCATGTTCTTCTTTCTACCATTTTAGGCTGAAATTAAACGATGCAATACACCATACAGAGTTGTCTGCAGGTTGTGCCCCCCAATGTTCTTGCTTTTTCTTACATTGATCTTGCTCGCTTGCGATTTTTTGTTATTATGGTGCAAAACTCTCTACTTGACGAGTTTACCCGACTTCAAACTAAATTATATATGAAAACCATTGTGCTCCCTCTGTTCCAAAATAACTTAAGTGATATGATTTTCCTAAGTGAAACTTTCACTGACCTCTATTCATCCTCGCGTCTGTGGCCCCAGCGTCGCAGCACAACCCCTTGGCATCCCAGCAGCTTCGCTAGAACCTCACAGTGCCCCCCCCCCCTCCATGTGCTTCCGTTTGCCGACATGGTGGCTCATCACCGTTGCCGCATCCCCGCGTTGTTCCTCCCCGTGCATAGCTAGTGCCTCCATTTGATCAAGTCTATATAAAATATATCAGAATTATTTCATTAGATTCATTATGAAATATATTTTCATATTATGTATATTTGATATCGTAGATCTTTGTGGATTATTCTATAGACTTGGTCAAACCTAAAAAAGTTTGACTTATGAAAATCCTAGAACTTCAATTATTTGGGAACGGAGGGAGGACTAACTATTACTACTCCTACAAACCACGAGCCTTTTATTGGACATAGTATATTGCACAATTACAGTTAAAGTACTGTCTTGTAATACTAGGTTGCAATTTTATGGCAAAATCTCATGACTCTGGCTCCTATGTTTTTTTCATGTCAATCATATAAGCATGCATTCAAGGCTAAATTTGTTGAACGTTGTTGATTGCCAGGGAACTGCTCCAAAATGTTGCCTGTTATAAAATTTGCTCTCTTGCCATCTGTGCTCATACTGGCATCAGCTTCAAGTTTCCGGGCACTGGCATCCAGCAATAAGACTGATCTGGATGCCTTGATAGCATTAAAGGCGGGTCTAAGCCGTCACTCGGATGCACTAGATTCATGGAACATAACTGCTGACTTCTGCCAATGGCATGGTGTCATCTGCAGCCTCAATCATAAGCAAAGGGTCTCAGCACTTAATCTCTCCTCGGCGGGGCTTCGTGGATATGTAGCTCCTTCCCTGGGGAACCTCACTTACCTGAGAAGTCTAGATCTCAGCTACAATCTATTTCATGGTGAAATCCCATGGACAATTGGCCAGTTGTCACAAATGTCATATCTTGACCTCTCAAACAACTTGCTCCAGGGAGAAATTCCTTGGACAATTGGCCAGCTCAGACAGTTATCACACCTCTATCTCTCAAATAATTCAATTGAAGGTGGGATCATGTATGGCCTGAGGAACTGCACCCGTCTTGTCAGCATCAAACTTGACCTGAATAAGCTCCACCAAGAAATCCCTGATTGGCTTGGAGGCTTGTCAAGGATTGAGGTCATGTCACTAGGGAAGAACAAGTTCACAGGGATCATCCCACCATCACTTGGCAACTTATCATCGCTGCGGATATTGAACATCAATGACAACCAGTTGAGTGGTCCAATTCCTGAGAGTCTTGGCAGGATCAGTAAGCTTGAGAAGCTAGGACTGCAAGTAAACCACCTCTCAGGCACCATCCCAAGAACGGTCTTTAACATGTCCTCACTCGCCCACATTGGTCTGCAGATGAACGAGCTAAGCGGCACACTTCCCTCCGATTTGGGCAATGGGCTACCAAAAATCGATCACCTTATCCTTGCTTCGAACCATTTCACTAGAAGAGTTGCATCTTCACTTGCAAATGCAACCACAATTCAGTCACTTGACCTCTCTGGTAACAAACTCATTGGATCCGTGGCTCCAGAGATTGGAGCACTCTGCCCGAACTTCCCGATTCTTAAGGGAAACCAGCTGAAGTCGAGCACTGCCCAGGACTGGGGGTTCATCACTTCATTAACAACTTGTACTAGTGTTAAAGGTGTCATATTGCGACACAACAGGTTTAGTGGTGTGCTTCCAAGTTCTATCGCAAACCTGTCCAGGCAACTCGAATTTTTTGATATTAGTTTCAATGAGATTTATGGCAAGATACCAGTTGGCATTGGATACTTCCCTTATCTAATCAAGCTCGGACTCTCTAGCAATCAATTTACAGGTGCCATACCAGACAACATAGGGAACTTGAAAATGCTCCAGTGGTTGACACTAGATAATAGCCGTATTTCTGGCACGATGCCGTCCTCGCTCGGGAACTTAACACAGTTGGAGGACCTTTCAGTAGCTAACAATGTCTTGCAAGGATATCTTCCAGCAAACCTTGGAAATCTCCAACGGCTCGTTGATGCAAACTTTTCAAACAATGCGCTTTCAGGTCCCTTACATAGATAGTTTTTTAGCCTGTCATCCTTGTCATACATTCTGGATTTGTCTAGGAATTGTTTCAGTAGTTATCTTCCATCCCAAGTAGGTGGCCTCACAAAGCTCACAGACTTGTACATCCATGAGAACAACCTATCTCGGACGCTGCCAGATGCTCTCAGCAATTGTGAGAGCTTGATGGAGCTCCGTTTGGATGTTAACTACTTCAATGGTATCATTCCTATGTCCATAAGCAGAATGCGAGGCTTGGTACTTCTGAATTTTAGCAAAAACGCGCTCACAGGTGCAATCCCTCAAGAGATAGGACTCATGAATGGCCTGAAAGAACTGTACCTTGCACACAATAATTTGTCTACATAGATTCCCGAGACCTTGGAAAGCATGACATCACTTTACCGGCTAGACATATCCTTCAACCTTCTTGATGGGCAAGTCCCAGCACGTGGTGTCACTGGTAGAAAAAGAGGCTTCCGTCCAGCCCCATTAGTCGCGAAACTGTAGGAACCGCGACTAATGAAGTCTTTAGTCGCGGTTCGGCAGACGAACCGCGACCAAAGGCCTGGGCCCAGGGCGCTAGGTGGCCAGCTTGTGCACGTGAGGGGATTTAGTCGCGGTTGGCCAGGCCAACCGCGACTAAAGGCGGCCTTTAGTCGCGGTTGGCCTGGCCAACCGCGACTAAAGCTCCTCCCCTATATATACCAGTTCAGCACGCTCCTCGCCTTTAGTTTTATTTTTCTGAATTTTTTAATATATTATTTGTATTTTTAAGATTTTGAAAAAGAAAAAGTATTTTGAAAAATACCTTTAGTCGTGGTTGGCCTGCCCAACCGCGACTAAAGGTCGTTGCGCGCGGGAACGCAATAACCCGCCAAAAACCCCTTTAGTCGCGGTTGGTCTGGCCAACCGCGACTAAAGGTTCGCGGGTCGCCTCCCCAACCGCGACTAAAGGGGGGGGCTATAAATACAAGGGCCCGAACCGTCGCCTCCATTTCTCGTCTTCTCTGCCGCGCCGAAGGCCTGCCGCCGTCGCCCTCGCCCTCGACGCCGCCCGCCGTCGCCCTCGCCCTCGACGCCGCCCGCCGTCGCCCTCGCCCTCGACGCCGCCCGCCGTCGCCCGCCGCCCCCTCTCGCCCACGTACGGCGCCCGCCGCCCCCTCTCGCCCTCGTACGCCGCCCGCCGGCCTCCCTCGCCCACCGCGCCGCCTCTCGCCCGCCCTCAACGCCGCCGGCCGGCCTCGCTGCCGCGCGCGCACGCGCGCGCCTCTCTACAGAGAGCGAGATCGTGGAGAGAGAGAGAGAATTTTTTTTTCTTTTTTTGTTCTTTTTAATTTTAACTAGTTAATTAGTTTAACAAAAACGGTAAAATAACTTAAAACTTGATAATTAACAAAAAAAAACGTAAAATTTGATAATTAACAAAAAAACGTATATACGGAGAGGGGGCGGCGAGGGGGGCGGCGATGCGCGCGTTGTTTTTTTTAGGGATCGAGAGGGGGCGGCGAGGGTTATACATGTGTGTTGTCCTCGCCTCCCTCTCCGTGACGCCATCGTCTGCCGCCCCGTCTCGCGCTCTACCGCGACACCCTCTCCCACCCCTTACTCGCCCCCTCCTTTTGCCACCGCCCTTTCGCCACCGCCACCGCCACCGCCCCCCTTCTTCACTTAATTAATTTGTTTTTACTACATGTTTTCAGGACTGACATAATGGCGGACGATAGAGCTGACCCGATTATGGACAACTATGATCCGGACGGTGAAGCACATATGTTCGGCATCATAAACGACGATATTCTATATGTGCCGACCGGACAAGAAGAAGATGATATCTCTTCTTATCTGAACCTTGACGGTGAAGATGAAGGGCGCCGTCAGCAAGATGATGCCGAACAAACGTCGATAAACGACGATCTTCAAATGGAAGTAGCAACCACCTCCGGCGCCGAGGTATATATATACATTGAGCCTCTGGTGATACAAACTAACTGATTTGAATAAATATGTGTGTACTAACGCGCGCGACTCTCTTTCTTATTTTAGCCCTCGGCCGGATCGTCGAAACAATCGAGTACGTCGTCAAAGCGTGGCGCAACCAAGACGATGAAACAAGGAGAAACATGCACCATCGAGGTTGTCGACAGTGCAACCGGCAGGCCGCTGGAGCCCCGCAAGAACGCCACCAAGTTTGTCAACCAATGCGGAGTCATTGTTAGAGACAACGTCTCGATCACCGTCCAGGAGTGGAATAAGCCAAAGAAGGCACGAATTGCTGGTTTCACTTTTGTCGATAAGAGAACAAAAAAGATTAAGGAATGTAGAGTAAGGAACATCCATGATGTTGGGTTCATTGACCCACACATCGTTAATGGATATGTGTTGGAGCATCACCCCGCCGACATGGAGGCAGACCTGTGGCAGTTTCTTACAAAGCAGGAACTCAAAAGTGATATTCTATTTCCTTACCATTTTGGGTGAGTGTTTCTGTCTTGAGCACATTCTCTTTTGTTTACTCCATGCATGGTATGTGGCCGGCTAATCGATGAGTTATGCATGACGTACTGTGCATGTATCGTGTCCGCAGGTTCCACTGGATTCTGCTAGTAATTAAAGTTGACACCTCAGAATGTCTCGTCCACGACTCTCTGAATAAGGATCCAAAGCTTTGGGGCGGCATGAGAAGAATGCTGCAGAAGTAATTATTTTCATTCATTTGCGCTCTATATCGATCGGCCTATTTCGTTCATTTCCTAATATCAAGTAACTAATAACTCTCTTGTTCATTTAATTTTCTTTGCCTCGTAGGGTTTGGAGACGGTTCGTAGATACAAAGGTTGGTGAATTCAAAAAAGAGCTAGAATTCAAAAGGTCAAAGGCTAAGAATGGTGAGGATATTCAGCCAGCGGGGACCAATCTATGTGCATACTATGTCTGTGAGATGATCCGGAGATACACCTCTGAGCGGCGGGTTCCGAGTGATACCAATGCTCAGAGGAATAACCTCCGGATGATGCTTAGTCCAGAAGCTCGCTTCCGACCACTTCAAGAGGAACTAGCTGGATGGTTCAGGAGGGAAGTCCTCCATCCTAAAGGAGAACACCATTACGAGGACGTAGAACTTTATATGCATTAAATTATGTATGGAAACTTGTTCAAAATTGTATATGGTCATCTGATGATATTGAATATATATTGTATATTCCTCTTGAATTCTTTTTGATTCTAATTTCAAATTTGTTTGAAATTGTACATTCATATGCATGTATGTAGTACCGTAGAATATGTGAAACTCCTTCAAAATTAAAATAAAGCACAAAAGAAATAAAACGATACAAATTAAACAGAAAACAGGTTTAGGGGGGGGCTAAAACCCTAAACCTGCGGCGGCCTTTAGTCGCGGTTGGCCAGAAGAACCGCGACTAAAGGTCCTCCGCCCCGACGGCCGCCTGACGCCCACGTGGACGGGCCTTTAGTCGCGGTTCTTAAGCAACCGCGACTAAAGGGGGGGGGGCTTTAGTCGCGCCTGTTTGGTCGCGGTTGCGCAACCGCGACTAATGGCAGTTGCGAACCGCGACCAAAGGCCCTTTTTCCACCAGTGTGTGTTTGCCAATTTGACCGGATTCTTATTTTATGGAAATGATAAGTTTTGGTGGTATTTCCGAATTGCGTTTGCCTTCATGCCCAACCAGACCAGTTGTGCACAATCAAAGAATAACACGAGTTGTTCGAAATGCAGTGATTTCTAGTGCTAGTATCGTCTTACTTATCTGCTTGATCCTAGCACTAGTTGTCTTCTCAAAAAATAAATTAAGAGTACCATCTGCCAGAACAGCACCATTATCTCCGTCGTTCATGGATGACATGTATCCTCGAGTTTCTTACTCAGACCTGGCCCAGGCAACAGATGGCCTCACAGACAACAATATAGTTGGCACAGGACGGTATGGATGTGTTTATAAGGGCAGGCTGCTGCTGAAAGAGTCCGTAATTACTGTCGTTGTGAAGGTTTTTGACGCTGAGCAATCTGGCTCTTCAAAAAGTTTTGTGGCTGAGTGTAAGGTGCTTAGCAAAATTCGCCACCGGAATTTGATTGGTATCAGAACTTGCTGCTCTGGCTTGAACCAAAATGACTTCAAAGCCATTGTATTTGATTTCATGCCTCACGGTGATCTTGATAAGTGGTTACATCAGGACACATATGCACCTAATTCAGTCAAAGTTCTAACACTAATGCAGAGACTGAGCATTGTCGCTGATATTGGGCGGCACTAGACTATTTGGACAACAACTGCCAGCCAGCAACAGTTCACCGTGACTTGAAGCCCAATAACATTCTTCTTGGGGAGGGCATGGTTGCTCATGTCGGGGACTTTGGCCTAGCGAAGATTCTCATGTGGAAGATTGTCGAAGCGTCTCAACCTCCAAACAGGAGGCCCGCAGGGTATATATTGATCTATTGGGGCGCACCACCCAATAGCGCATACATATCGTAACAGAGAGGAGATACATCGAGGGATTACAGGAGAAGAGATAGAAAGATAAATGAGTACATTGTTAAGATAAATCTATCTCTAACTACCTATGCGTTCTACACAAGATAATGGTTAACACTTCCCCTTAATCACAACTACACAAGTTGAGATTATGCTTAAAGTCTTCAAAGCTTCTTGTAGGAAGTGCCTTTGTGAACCCATCTGCAATCTGATCTTTAGAAGGTATGAATTTGATATCCAATTCTTTGTTTGCAACTCTTTCTCTGACAAAGTGAAAATCTATCTCAATGTGTTTAGTTCTTGCATGAAAAACAGGATTAGCAGAAAGATAGGTTGCACCAAGGTTGCCACACCAAAGTATAGGCGTCTGAGTATGTGATACTCCAAGTTCTCTTAACAAAGCTTGCACCCAAATAATTTCAGTTGTAGCATTAGCTAATGCTTTATACTCTGCCTCAGTACTGGACCTGGAAACAGTAGCTTGTTTCTTGGCACACCATGAAATCAAAGTAGGTCCATAAA